TTAGAGAACTGGTTCGTGAACTGGATAAGAGAACTGGTTCATAGATTTGTTTCGTGAACTGGTTCGTGAACTGGTTCAGAAAACTGGTTCGTGAACTGGTTCGTGAACTGGATCAGAGAACTGGTTCAGAGAACTGGTTCGTGAACTGGATCAGAGAACTGGATCAGAGAACTGGTTCGTGAACTAGTTCAGAGAACTGGTTCAGAGAACTGGTTTGTGAACTGGTTCAGAGAACTGGTTCTGGTTCGTGAACTGGTTCAGAGAACTGGTTCGTGAACTGGTTCGTGAACTGGATCAGAGAACTGGTTCGTGAACTGGTTCAGAGAACTGGTTCAGAGAACTGGTTCGGGAACTGGTCCAGTGAATCTGGAGGATCTGATGGTTTCTAGATGCTGAACTTCTTTGTTTTGTTCAGCTCGTTCTCCTGCCTGCGTGTTGCCTTCATGTCCTCAGTCAGTGTGGGATTTCTCATTTGTTCTCCATTTGCTGCTCACAAACTGTTTTGTTCAAACTGCTGGAAGTTTCAGTTCTTTCCATGTCTGCATGATGCTCAGAACTTCCTGCTGGTAATTTTAAGCTTTTCATCAAAAGTCGATTTAAAGAGTTTTTGGTGTAAAGCAGCAACATCTCCGAGTCGGTCTGAACCGTTTGGGTTTGACATCAGGATGGTTCTGAAATGAAGGAAGAATATTTCTAGACATCTGGAGGTTCGTGCGAAACCAAACAGAACGGTGCCGGTTTTGGGTTCTGACCGGTACCAGAATCCACCTGTAGGCCGACGTTCGATTTAAGGAGGAAATCCAGGAGACGGCTGGAGCGATGAGAGAAACGTCTGACTGCAGCAAGAACTTGACTCATGATTCAGAAATCAGCTGGACCAGATGCAGATCACCCACATACTGGACATGATCTGATCTGCTGTCCAGCAGGGGGCAGCAGAGACGGGTCAGAGGCAGTGAGGAGGCCTGGGGGGTCCGTGTGGAACCACCAGGAGGAACGTCGGCGTGACGTTCCGACTGAAATCGATTTGAAAAGTATTGGATCCAGGAACCGGTCCGAACTGCCGGACTCCGCTTTGGAAAGAAAAAAGGTTTCATGCTGTTCAGACGAACCCAATGTTTCCATCTCTGCTCTGCTTATGGACTAGATTATTAATCTGGATTATAGTTTATTCCCTGAACTTCCTGTTTAGTTTATGAGCAGAAAGTTGAAGTTTAAACTTTCATAAAAGCTCTCAGCTGTAATCCTGGACGTCTAGTTGGTTGTTTTCTGAAGCTTCAGAAAGGAAATAAGTTTCCAGTATTTTGATGCCAAACCCAGATGTTTCAGACTGTAATCCTAATCTGCTGCCTGCACTCTGTGATCACATTAACAATCAAACAGCCGATGAATGAAAACGTCGTGAAGCAAAGTGTCAGTTCCTCTGCGTCAGTGGAGCCGCAGCGGGTCCTGCATGTTCCAGTTCTTCCCTGCTGGCAGTAACTTCCTCCTCAGCAGGTCAAAGTTCCTCTAATGAGCCGTCATTGGATCCAGGTGAGGACAGAACTGGACCGCGCAGGACGCCGGGCCTCCAGGACCCACTGTGGCTCCACTGACCTTCGTTTTCTGAACAAACCCGAGTCTTGGGAAGCATTTCCTTCCTTAGCTTTAAACAGTTCTAAGAAGTTCTGCTGGATGGGATAAAAAGATAAAACCAGAAACTCAGTAGTTTACAGATGGTCCCTGAATGCACCATCAACGCCCATCGGAGCTTTAAAAGGTCAAAGGTCGTTGAACCGACCCAAAACAGCACCACTTTAAACGCCTCTAAAAAATAACTTTCCCCAAAAGAAAAACTTTAAAACTTAGTTTACATCCTGGTGCAGTGGATGCAGCGTTCAGCACAGAACACACCCAGAGGCCGCCGCAGGTTCGATTCCCGGCCGGGTGACCTTTGCTTCTCTCAATAGCCACTTTTCTGTCAATTCACTGTCAAATAAAGAGCCAATAAAACCTTTGAAAAACTTTTACATCCTTATGATAACTTCCTCATTACACAAGAAAACAAAATAAAGTTTCATTAGAAGAAAATCAATTTTCTTATTTATAGAAAAATATTGTCTCAACATGAGGAAACAAATCCTGGAAACATTTCTCAATATTTGGGATATTTTCTGGTCATTTTTCAGATAATATTCAGATATTTTATCAGTAAATCAAGAATTGACAAAGAAATGATCCAAGTTGGAGAAAAATGTTTTCTGTAAAAAAAAAAAAAAGCATTTTTTTGCATATATTTAAGATATTTATTTGTGAATCTTTTTCTCCCCAACCCAAAATATATCCCCATTTTGGGACAATAAATTATTAAAAAATGAATCAATTATAGATTAAAATATTTTCAGATTCCTCCAAAAACATTCATATTCTGATATTTTCTCTTTCTTATGAGGAAATGAGGACCTGATGTGAAGGAGACATTTCCTGCAGATGATCAAATAATGAAAAACATTTCATTTGTTTTCCTTGGAAAGAAATTATCTCGTTATCTTGAGATAATTAATTAAGGAAACTGAAGAAGCAATTATCTGAAGATGATTTCATATTTTTAACTTTTCTAAGATTTATTGATTTTTCCTGAAATAAATATCTTAAGATGACAAAATACGTCGTCATTATCTTGAGTTTTATTGTGTTAAAATAAAACATCTTGAAATATTTTTATTAATATTTGATGAGAAATAAATAAAAATTTTCTCTATCTGAAGATATGTCATTTTTGTTGAGGTTCTTTCTGCACTAAATTAAACTTGTTTAATGTCAGATTCTCTTGTTTCTTCAGAAAACCTCCTAGACATGATTTAATGGAGGACTTAAAGCTCCTTGTGTTTCTGTAGCTGTGCGTCTCTAATCTTCGTCGTCTTTGCTTCAACCCAACCAGAAAACATCGGAGCAGCTGAAAGAAGAGGAAAGGAGGAAGCTGGCCGAGGTTCAGGCCGAGCTGGACAAGCAGAAGCGGCTGGCTGAAGCTCAGGCTCAGTCGGCAGCCAGGGCGGAGCAGGAGGCGGAGGAGCTGAAGCTGCAGATGCAGCAGGAGGCCAGCAGGAGGCAGGGCGCGGCCGCCGACTCCGAGCAGCAGAAGAAGAACATCCAGCAGGAACTGCAGCAGCTGAGGAGTCTGTCGGAGCAGGAGGCCAGGTCCAAGAGCCAGCAGCTGCAGGAGGCGCTGGACAGCCGCTCCAAGATCGAGGAGGAGATCCGCCTGGTCCGCATCCAGCTGGAGACCACCATGAGGCAGAAGACCTCCGCCGAGTCCGAGCTGCAGAGCCTCCGGGACAGGGCCGCCGAGGCCGACACGCTCCGCAGGGCCGCTCAGGACGAGGCGGAGCGGCTCCGCAGGCAGGTGGCAGAGGAGACCCAGAAGAAGAAAACCGCAGAAGACGAGCTGAAGCGCAAAGCAGAAGCCGAGAGGGAGGCGGCCAAGCAGAAGCAGAAAGCCCTGGAGGAGCTGCAGAGGTTCAAAACGCAGGCGGAGGAGGCGGAGCGGCGCGTGAAGCAAGCTGAGGAGGAGCAGCTGAGGCAGGTCAAGGTGGTGGAGGAGGTGGCACAGCGGAGCGCCGCCACCCAGATGCAGACCAAGGTCTCGCTGTTCACCGAGAAGACCACCCAGCTGGAGGAGTCGCTGAAGAAGGAGCAAGGCGCGGTACTGCAGCTGCAGGAAGAAGCCGAGCGGCTCAGGAAGCTGCAGGATGAAGCCGACAGAGCCAGGCAGCAGGCGGAGCAGGAGCTGGAGACATGGAGGCAAAAAGCCAACGAGGCGCTGCGCCTGCGGCTGCAGGCAGAGGAGGAAGCCCAGAAGAAGAGCCAGGCTCAGCAGGAGGCCGAGCGGCAGAAGGTCGAAGCCGAGCGAGACGCCAAGCGGAGGACCAAGGCGGAGGAGGCGGCGCTGAAACAGAAGGACAGCGCCGAGAAGGAGCTGGAGAAGCAGCGGCAGTTCGCCGAGCAGATTGCTCAGCAGAAACTGTCCGCTGAGCAGGAGTGCATCCGTCTCAAGGCCGACTTCGAGCACGCCGACCAGCAGAGGGCGCTGCTGGACAGTGAGCTGCAGCGGCTGAAGAACGAGGTCAGCGCCGCAGAGAGCCAGAGGAAACAGCTGGAGGACGAGCTGGCCAGGGTCCGCGGAGAGATGGACATCCTGCTGCAGATGAAGGTCAAAGCTGAGCAGGAGACGCTGTCCAAGACGGAGAAGAGCAAGCAGCTGCTGGAGTCAGAGGCTCTGAAGATGAAGCAGCTGGCCGAGGAGGCGGCACGGCTCCGAGGCGTCGCTGAGGAGGCCCAGAGGCAGCGGCAGAGGGCCGAGGAAGAGGCGGCGCAGCAGAGGGCCGAGGCAGAGAAGATCCTCAAGGAGAAGCTGGCCGCCATCGACGAGGCCACGCAGGTGAAGACGCAGGCAGAGATCGCCCTGAAGGCCAAGGAGGCCGAGAACGAGAGGCTGAAGAGGAAGGCTGAGGAAGAGGCGTATCAGAGGAAGCTCCTGGAGGACCAGGCCGCCCAGCACAAGCAGCAGATCGAGGAGAAGATGAGTCAGCTGAAGGGCTCGTCCGAGTCCGAGCTGGAGAGGCAGAAGACGGTGGTGGACGAAACTCTGAGGCAGAAGACGGTGGTGGAGGAGGAGATCCGCATCATCAGGCTCAACTTTGAGAAAGCAGCGAAGGAGAAGTCCAGCCTGGAGCAGGAGCTGAAGAAGCTGAAGGATGCTGCAGAGCAGACGCAGAAGAGCAGGCTGAAGGCCGAAGAAGAGGCGGAGAAACTGAAACAACTGGCAGCAGAGGAGGAGAAGAAGAGGAAGGAAGCTGAGGAGAACATGAAGAGGATCACTGCTGCAGAAGAAGAGGCGGCTCGCCAATGCAAGGCCGCTCAGCAGGAAGTGGAGCGGCTCAAGAAGAAGGCGGAGGAAGCCAACCAGCAGAGGAGCAACGCCGAGAAAGAGGCGGAGAGGCAGGTGGTCCTGGCAAAGGAAGCGGCGCAGAAATGCAGCGCTGCAGAGCAGAAGGCCCAAAACGTCCTGAGCAAGAACAAAGAGGACGTCCTCGCTCAGGAGAAGCTCAGAGACGAGTTTAACAACGCAAAGAAGCTCGCCGAAGTCGCTGAGAAGGCCAAAGAGGAGGCAGAGAAAGAGGCGGCGTTGCTTCGCCAGAAAGCCGAGGAGGCCGAGAAGCAGAAAAAATCTGCAGAAGAAGAAGCCGCGAAACAGGCCAAGGCTCAACAAGATGCAGAGAGACTGAGGAAAGAGGCGGAGGAGGAGGCATCGCGGCGGGCTGCAGCCGAAGCTGCGGCGCTGCAGCAGAAGCAGCAGGCGGATGCAGACATGGCCAAACATAAGAAGGAGGCGGAGCAGGCGCTGAAGCAGAAGTCTCAGGTAGAGAAGGAGCTGTCAGCCATCAAGCTGCAGCTGGAGGAAACAGACAAGCAGAAGGAGCTTCTGGATGCTGAGCTGCAGAGAGTTAAAGGAGAAGTCAACGACGCCGTCAAACAGAAAGCGCAGGTGGAGCAAGAGCTCTCCAGAGTCAAGAATCAGATGGACGAGCTCCTCAAAGTCAAACTGAAAATCGAGGAGCAAAACCGCCTCCTCCTGCAGAAAGACCAAGACAACACCCAGAAGTTGCTCCAGGAGGAGGCTGAGAAGATGCAGCACCTGGCAGCAGAGGCCGCTCGGCTCGCAGTGCAGGCTGAAGATGCAGCCAGGCAGAGGCAGGCGGCTGAGGCAGACCTTGCTGAGCAGAGAGCGCTCGCTGAGAAGATGCTGAAGGAGAAGATGCAGGCCATCCAGGAGGCCATAAGACTGAAGGCTGAAGCTGAGGAGCTGCAGAAGCTGAAGGACCAGGCCCAGGAGACGGCTAAAAAACTACAGCAGGACAAACAGCAGATCCAGCAGCGCCTCCATAAGGACACTGAAGACTTCCAGAAATCTCTGGAAGTGGAGCGCTCCAGGCAGCTGGAAGCATCTGCTGAGGCAGAGAAGCTGAAGCTCAGAGTCATGGAGCTCAGCGCCGCCCAGACGAAAGCCGAGGGCGAGGCCAAGAAGTTCAGGAAGCAAGCCGATGAAGCTAAAGCTCGTCTGCAGGAGACCGAAAAACAGGCAACGGAAACCGCGGTGCAGAAGCTGGAGACGCAGAGGCTGCAGAGCACCAGAGAGGCTGACGATCTGAAGAGAGCCATCGCTGAGCTGGAGGACGAGAAGAAGAAGCTGAGAAAAGATGCTGAGGAGCTGCAGAAGAAAACCCAGCAGGTGGAGTTACTAAAATACAGAAACTAATGAGATGTTGATGTTAAGTTCATGACTAGAAGTCATGAGTGATTTTCTCTGACCAACTTTATCTTCCTTTCTTCGGACAGATGGCGACCGCCCAGCAGGAGCAGATCGAGCAGCAGAAGGTCATCCTTCAACAGTCGTTCCTCAGTGAGAAGGAGCTGCTGCTGAAGAGAGAGCGAGCCATTGAAGACGAGAAGAAAAAGCTGGAGAAGCAGTATGAGGAGGAGGTGAAGAAGGCCAAGGCGTTCAAAGAAGAACAGGAGCGCCAGCGTGCTCTCATGGAGGAGGAGAGGAAGAAGCTGCAGGCCGTGATGGACGAGGCTGTAAAGAAGCAGAAAGAGGCAGAAGAAGAGATGAAAGCCAAGCAGAGGGAGGTGGAGGAGCTTGAGAAGAAGAGGCTGGAAGAGGAGAAACTCCTGGAGGATGAGAACAAGAAGCTCAGAGAGAAACTCCAGAGCCTGGAAGGAGCTTCTAAAACGGGAACGACCAAAACTAAGGAAATGGAAGTTCAGACGGATGACGTTCCCGAGGAGCAGCTGGTCTCCATGACGATGGTGGGAACAACCAGAAAGGTTCTGAATGGTGCCGTCGAAGTGGACGGGGTGAAGAAAGATGGAGGATCTCCCTACACATTTGATGGAATCAGAGAGAAGGTTCCTGCAGAGAGACTCTTTGACCTCGGTGTCCTGACCAAGAAGGACATGGACAAACTAAGAAAAGGCAAAGTGACCGTGCAGGAGCTGGAGAAGACGGACAAAGTTCGATCATGTCTGAAGGGCCAGAACTGCGTCGGAGGCATCCTGACTCCATCTAAGGAGAAGATGAGCATCTACAACGCCATGACAGAAAACAAGATCACTCCGGACTCTGCCACCATGCTTCTGGAATCTCAAGCAGCTTCAGGCTTCATTGTTGATCCGGTGAAAAATAAACTTCTGTCTGTAGACGAGGCTGTTAAGGAGGAGTTAGTTGGGCCTGAGCTCCACGACCGGATGCTTTCTGCTGAGCGCGCAGCCACTGGCTTTAGAGATCCGTACACTGGAGCCAGAATCTCTCTGTTTGAGGCCATGAAGAAGGGCCTCATTGATAAAGAGCAAGCCACCAAATTCCTGGATGTGCAGCTCGCCACGGGTGGGATAGTGGATCCCATCAACAGTCACAGAGTCCCACTTCAGACAGCTTACAAGCAAGGCCACTTTGATGCAGACATGAACAAGAAACTCAGTGAAGAGCCCAAGTCATTCACTGACCCCAGCACTCAGGAGCCACTCACCTACAAACAGCTGCTGGAGAAATGCACCAAAGACCCAGACACCGGCCTGATGATGTTACCGGTGACGGAAAGAGCCGGTCAGAGAGAGAGAACCTACACGGATATGGAGACTAGAGAGGTGTTCAGCAGATCCAGTGTTGATGTTCCATTTGGAAAGTTCAAAGGAAAGACCGTCACCATCTGGGAGGTGATAAATTCAGAGTATTTCACAGAGGAGCAAAGAAGAGAACTGATCCGTCAGTATAAGACAGGCAAGATCACCGTAGAGAAGGTCATCAAGATCGTCATCACTGTTGTGGAAGACAAGGAGAAGGACAGTGGAAATGTCTTCAATGGTCTGAGGGCTCCAGTGAGCGCTACTGAGCTGCTCGAGTCTAAGATTATAAACAAAGACTTGTTCAACAAGCTGAGCAATGGGAAGATCTCAGTTAAAGAAGTTTCTGAGATGGATGCTGTGAAGAAGGCTCTGCAAGGAACGCCCAGCATCGCAGGTCTCCTGAATGAACCAACCAAAGAGAAAATGCCGTTCTATCAAGCCTTGAAAAAGGAATTACTCTCCCCAGAGACGGCTGTGAATCTCCTCGAAGCTCAAGCAGCAACAGGATTTATGATAGATCCTGTAAAAAATGAGCGTATGCCTGTCGATGAAGCTGTTAAATCAGGTCTTGTTGGTCCAGAGCTGCACGAACGCCTCCTGTCAGCAGAGCGAGCCGTCAGCGGCTACAGAGATCCCTACACAGGGAAAAAGGTGTCTGTTTTTGAAGCCATGAGCAAAGGCCTGGTAAAGAAAGACCAAGGCATCCGTCTGCTGGAAGCTCAGCTCTCAACAGGAGGAGTTATTGATCCCATTAAAAGCTGTCGCATCCCTAATGAGGTCGCCTGCAAGCGAGGATACTTTGATGAAGAAATCGACAAGACTCTGAATCAAAACACAGACGAGACAAAAGTTTTTTATGATCCCAACTCACAGCAAGATGCCACCTACGCACAACTCATGTATAAATGTGTCACAGACAAAGAAACTGGATTGCCATTACTTCCTCTGTCAAAGAAGGCTCCAAAGCCGAAGGAGGACAAACGCATAACAGAGGCCAAAACGAAAGAGGCCCTAAGCCAGAAGACAATGGAGCTGGAATATGGACCCTTCAAAGGAAGAAAAGTCACAATCTGGGAAATCATAAACTCTAAGTACATCACTGAGGAACAGAGACTGGAGCTGATCCGTCAGTACAGGATGGGACTGGTAACAATCGAGAAGCTCATAAAGATTGTGATAACAACCATTGATGAAAAAGAGGACAAAACCAAGGAAGAAGCTTGTTTTGAAGGCCTGAGAGAACCAGTCACCGCCAGCTCTCTGTTTGATTCCAACATCATTGACAAGGCCACATTTGACCAACTCCAGCAGGGTAAGAAGGCTCCCAAAGAGGTTGGTCAGACTGACAGAGTCAGAAAGTACCTGCATGGCACTGACCGCATCGATGGCGTCACCATGGAAGGCTCAGATGAGAAGTTAAGCATTTATGAAGCTATGAAACGGCGTGTTTTACAGCATAGTACTGGACTGGCTCTTCTTGAAGCCCAAGCTGGTACCGGATTTATAACCGAACCAGTAAAAAACCAGAAATATTTTGTGGATGATGCTGTGAAGGCTGGAGTTGTTGGTCCTGAGCTTCATGAGAAACTTCTTTCAGCTGAAAAAGCAGTCACAGGATACAAAGACCCATATACGGGCAACAAGATCTCCCTGTTCCAGGCCATGAAGAAGGAACTGGTGTTAAGGGAGCATGCTATTCCTATTCTAGAAGCTCAGATCACAACTGGTGGAATAATCGATCCAGTTAGCAGCCATCGTGTTCCCAATGATGCAGCCATCCAGCGGGGCTTCTTCAGTAAAGAAATGTTGAAATCATTCAGCGAAGAGACAGGCGACATCAAAGGCTTCACCAACCCCAACACCAACGAACGGGTAACTTACAGACAGCTGCTGGAGAAATGCAGAAGAGACCCCAACACTGGTCTGTGCTACCTGCCTCTGTCAAAAGTTGAAGCTCCTGCAGTGACTGAGAAATCCTATGAGTACACAGAGGAGCAAGCTCAACAAGACCTAGCCAACACTCAGATTGAGATCCCTCATCAGAGCTTTGCAGGAAAGAGCTTGACCATCTGGGAGGTGATGAACTCAAACTTGCTTCCTGAAGAGGAGAGGCGGCGGCTCCTGGAGCAGTACCGCTTGGGCCAGATCACAAAGGAAAGGATGCTCATCATCATCATCGAAATCATTGAGCAAAGAGAAACTCTGAAGCTGGAGCAGACCATGTCATGTGACGTGATCAGGAGAAGGGTTACTATCGAGGAGCTGTACAGCGCTCGGATTATTGACCTGCAGACGTACAACCTCCTGAAACAGGAGAAGATGAGCGTCCAGGAGGTGATGGAGATGCCGTCAGTGAAGCAGTACCTCTTTGGAACAGGTTGCATTGCGGGAATCATGTCAGACAGTCCTCCTAAAATCAGCATTTACCACGCTATGAAGAACGGCCAGATTAAGCCTGAAGTCGCTGTGAAACTTCTCGAAGCGCAGGCAGCAACAGGATTCATGATCGACCCTGTGAAAGACGAGCTCCTAACCGTTGATGAAGCTGTACGTAAGGGCCTTGTTGGGCCTGAGATCCATGACAAACTGCTCTCAGCTGAGCGTGCAGTAACAGGATACAAGGATCCGTACAGCGGAAAAGTCATTTCTCTCTTCCAGGCCATGAAGAAAGACCTGGTTTCCGAAGAATATGCCTTGAGGCTTTTGGAAGCCCAGAATGCCACTGGAGGACTGATGGATCCGGAGTACTACTTCCACCTTCCGCTAGATGTGGCCATGCAGCGTGGCTACATTAACAAAGAAACCCTTGATAGGATAACTGAACCTACGGCGGACATCCGAGGTTACATTGACCCAACAACAGATGAGAAACAGACTTACGCTCAGCTGCTGAAGAGATGCAGAGTTGATAAAGAAAGTGGACTCCGGCTGCTTTCCCTGGCAGACAGACGACTTCTCTTCAAGGGTCTTAGAAAAACCATCCCTGCAGATGAGCTCCTCCGTTCACAGATTATTGACCAGAAGACCTACAGCGAACTCATTGAAGGCATCATCACGGTGGAGGAGGTCAGCAGAGACCTGAAGAAGTACCTCGAGGGCACCAGCTGCATAGCAGGCGTTTATGTCGAATCTTCCAAAGACCGTCTTTCTATTTACCAAGCAATGAAGAAGAACATGATCAGGCCGGGAACCGCCTTTGAGCTGCTTGAAGCTCAAGCTGCTACAGGATATGTGATTGACCCCATCAAGAACCTGAAACTGAATGTCACAGAGGCTGTTAAAATGGCCGTTGTTGGCCCAGAGTTTAAAGACAAACTCCTCTCAGCTGAACGAGCCGTCACAGGCTACAGAGACCCTTACTCTGGCCAGGTAGTCTCTCTGTTCCAGGCTATGAAAAAGAATCTGATTCTGAAAGACCATGGCATTCGGCTACTGGAGGCCCAGATCGCTACTGGGGGGATCATCGATCCCCAGGAGAGCCACCGTTTGCCCATTGAAACAGCATATGAACGTGGCCTCTTTGATGAGGAAATGAACACGATTCTCACTGATCCCTCTGATGACACAAAGGGCTTCTTTGACCCAAACACAGAGGAAAACCTCACCTACCTGCAGCTGATGGAGAGATGCATGACGGACCCAGAGACCGGCCTTCGTCTCCTGCTGCTGAAAGAGAAGAAACGCGAGAGGAAGACGTCGTCCAAGTCTTCGGTTCGTAAGCGAAGGGTTGTCATCGTCGATCCAGAATCGGGCAAAGAGATGTCCGTTTATGAAGCGTACCAAAAAGGTCTGATTGATCACCAGACCTATATAGAGCTTTCAGAGCAGGAGTGTGAGTGGGAGGAGATAACGATAACCTCCTCGGATGGAGTCGTAAAGTCCATGATCATCGACAGAAGGTCTGGACGGCAATATGACATTGACGATGCCATCACAAGAGGCCTGATAGATAAGTCTGCTCTGGATCAGTACCGAGCTGGAACCCTGTCCATAACAGAGTTCGCAGACATGCTGTCCGGAAACATGAGCGGCAGTAGATCACGCTCATCCTCCTTTGGCTCCTCTTCCTCCTACACCGCCAGCCCGGTGCCTTCCATAAAAACACCCGCAACCACGTGGAATGACCCAACTGAGGAGACCGGGCCTGTGGCCGGGATACTGGACACAGACACACTGGAGAAGGTTTCCATCACAGAGGCCATTCACCGAAATCTTGTGGACAACATAACAGGTCAAAGGCTCCTGGAAGCTCAGGCCTGCACTGGAGGGATCATTGACCCGAACACAGGAGAGAAGTTCTCTGTGGCTGATGCAATGAATAAAGGGCTGGTGGATAAGATCATGGTGGACCGCATCAGTTTAGCCCAGAAGGCGCACAATGGGTTTGAAGATCCCCGAACTAAGAGCAAAATGTCTGCTGCTCAAGCTCTGAAGAAAGGATGGCTTTACTACGAAGCCGGACAGCGGTTCCTTGAGGTCCAGTATCTCACTGGTGGGCTGATTGAACCAGATGCTTCTGGTAGAGTCTCCATTGATGAGGCTGTGAAGAAGGGCACCTTAGACGCCCGCACCGCCCAGAAGTTACGAGATGTCAGCGCGTATTCCAAGTACCTCACCTGCCCCAAAACCAAGCTCAAGATCTCCTACAAGGACGCCATGGAGAGAAGCATGATTGAGGAGGGAACCGGTCTCCGGCTGCTCGAAGCTTCGTCTCAGTCCACCAAAGGCCTTTACAGTCCGTATAGCATCAGCGGCTCTGGCTCTGCGACCGGATCCCGCTCTGGTTCCAGAACCGGCTCCAGGTCCGGCTCCAGGAGAGGAAGCTTTGATGCCACAGGGTCGAGTTTCACAACAACCTTCTCGTCGTCATCCTACGGTTCGCCGAGCTACAGCCGGCGGTACTGAGCAGGAGGCGGAGCAACGCTCACCAGATGCCTGCATCCCTGTGGAATAAAGACCTCCTTTATTCTGCTCTGCATGGGGGTGTTACAAAACTTTCCTTTTTCCACCAATATATTCATTCGCTTTATTGTATATCTTACACTGTATGGCACCTCATCAGATCCATAGTCATGAACTGTAAGCATTACAGCCGACCACCTACAGCCTACCTGACTAACAGTTTTAAAATAAACGTCTAGTCTTCCGGAAACACTCATTTATTTCCTAGAAAAATTGTTATCAGAACCAGACCGGATGTACAAACTAGGGTATCTGAACATGTGTATATTTCTGAAAGGACAAAAAGCTTCTCTGCAGAGCAGAATATGGAGTCTATCGATAGTGTGCCTCAAGAACGCCAAGCTTCAAGATCTTCTCTCTCCTGAGCCACACTGCCATATTTACACTATAAACCCAACTTCATAACCATAAACCCTGCAGTCGGAGCAACATGTGCACACTGTGAGATGGACACATAGCAAGAGAGACCTGGGGACACTTTGACCAACACCAATAAATCCCTGCTGTTCTGGACGGCAGAAAGGTAAATCTAGAGAGAAGCATTTCTGATCTGATGCCAGATTGTGGGAATCTGATGTTTTGTCCTGTTCCAGGAAGTGCCTTCAGCCTTCAGCTGGTCTCTCTGCTCAGACGTCAGCACTGGACTCCAGTGGACGCTGCTCCTCGGGATTGAAACTCCCTGCTCTGCTGCTCAGTCTGCTTGCTTAGCAAATGCTCCTCGTCTTTCACTGGGAGAAGCTGCAGACCTCAAACTGGTGCCTGACTGAAAGGTGAGCAGGTTTCCAGTCCGGCTGCAGAAGAAACACCTAAACTTATTAGCCAAGATTAAGATCATAGCATTGACTTTGTTTTCCAGGCGATGTATGGCGACGGTAGCGATGATTAGTAAAAAAGTTTCTTTGAGAAAGATCTTCAAGCTTCGCAGCTCAGCCAGTTTTTATATTTGACTCTACACAGCTTCGTTTTGATGGTAGATTTTCTTTGTAAAGCAGCACATTTGATCTATAGCTCCTTTTATTTTCATACTCTATATTTCTGCTTTGCATGATTTACTAACATATAAAAGACATAACAGCTATATCCTTTAAAAGCTTATTTTTTTGCTGTGTTTGAGGTTTGAAGGATGTTTGAGAGGAGTCATCCAGCCTTGTTTGGTGTGTCTATAAGTAAATGGGACAAGAACATTTATTGTTACACCTTAAGCCTGTAAATAAACACAAAAATGAAAAGAACTAAATATGTTTCTTTAATTTTGTTTTGTTTGCTGTATGAATAAAGACTGAAAAATCACTTCTAAAATAAACATACAAGGTTTAGTTTTTCTAATAAATGTAGGTAAAATGAAACTATCCAACTTAAAAAGATCAAGCAAGACGTCCACGTCTCACAAACGGCTGTTGAAATAATATATTTTTATGTTTTTCACTTTAAATATCAATCAGCCTACAATATTAAAATCAATATTTTGAGGGATTTAACCCTTAAAGGCTGTTATTAAGAATAGTTAAATTTCTACAAAGTAGTCAGTGATTATTATTATTATTATATTTGTATTGTCAAAAATGTAGGAGTCTACTTCCTAGATTCAGCACTAAGAATATTATAAATTGCCACATTTTGCAATTTAAACAGATAATCATTATAACAATGTTATTTATTTTCTAAATCATACAGATTAAAGGCAAACTTTAGATTATTTGGACAAACCAATAGTCTGTTTCCGAGATGTAAAAATATTAAATATTTATACTTTTGCATTTTTTTTCTTTTAACCTAAAATATTATCAAATAATATTGTTCATATTTTGGAGATTTTAATTATTTAAAGTCTCATATGATTAAAGATTTTTGCTGTTTTATAGAAGTTATAAAAACGAAAAATAAACAATAAAAAAAGATTGTTATATAAAAATATTCTGCAAGTTTTTCATAAGATTTGTTAATGTGCGGTTGTCTTTGTTCTTTATGTCTGAGTTTATTGAAAATGAAGCTATTTACAGGTGCTGGTCATAAAATTAGAATATTGTGATGAAGTTCATTATTTTCCNTAATTTTTTTTAAAAATTTTGGTTTTTTTGGGGAAAAAATTTTTTTTTTTTTTTTTTTTTTTTTTTTTAAATCAACATTGTCCTTAATACTCCGTTATAGCACTGAGCCTTCCTGTTACTTGCTGAGTTTGCCTCTCTCTCAGCCATATTCACGTCTCAGGTCCTGAACACGCTGCTTCTCTTCTGAAGCTTCTGCTCTGGGTTTTCTGGCTGAAAGTTTGGCCATGTTTCCATGACGATACTCTTGCTTTTTTGCTTTTTCCGAACAATTAAAAACGGCATATTATGCAGACATTTTGAATGTAGCTGCTGCACATTATTATAATTTTTCTTAGTAAATACAGTGGTGTAATTTTCCTTTCCAGCTGATGATCCATCCAGACCCAACCAAACGACCATCGGTCTCTGACCTCATCAAGCACCCGGTGCTGCTGACGGCTGCCAGGATGAGCGCCGACCAGCTCCGAGTCGAGCTCAACGCTGAGAAGTTTAAGAACGCTCTGCTGCAAAAGTAAGTGCAGCGCAAGGAGCAGCAGCTGTTTCCAGGAAGAACGAGTTCAGTTCGTCACCGTCTGGAAACACTCAGTGGAAACGCCACGGTTTCCCATTTAAAACCAAGTTTTCAATTTAAAGTTGGATCATGTTTTTTATCTAACAGATGTTCGTTTGTCACATATTGATAATGTTGTAAAGAAGACGATGGAAAACGTAAATTTGTTAATTACTATTATTTTAGTTATCGGTTATTTTGATTAATTGTATAATAAATTTTCCACATTCTGCACATTTTTCAAGGCCATTTTTTCCCACAATATTGAAAATACATTTAATATCCGAATAAAGAAATAATTCCATTCTATTTTTGAAAGAAAATTTTCCTGCAGTGCAACAACGTAGCATTCCTTTAGTGGACGCATGATTGTAGCAAAAAACCACGTCCAATATCTACATGTGAAAATTTTATTTTTTTTTAATTAACCAAATTAATATGGGCAGCAAAAGGAGCTTAATAGTAATTTAATTTTTATTTATTTCCAGAATTTAAAGGAGGATAGGCTAAAACTATGATACTTGGAGTTCTGGTAGAATATATTTATAGACTAAGGTTTTTTTTTTTTTTTCCCCATCTTAAATTAACAATGTTTGTTTTTTTGTTCAGTTTTAGTTTATTTACTACTCTGAGGATGTTGTTCCTTCATCAGTTGGCCTTTTTATGAGCCAGATGCTCCAGTTAACGATTAATCACTACTTACTAAATTAGTTGACGATTATTTCAATTCAATTAATCGTTTCAGCCCAATATTTGATAGTTGTAAACCAAAATGAAAGCTGAATGGAAGAGTTTTCAAGCGCATATTGTGCAAAAATATTAAACCTCTATGCTACTTTTATAAATAACAGCAGTTTAGCAACCTGATAATTTAAAAATGTGAAATCATCTCAAACGATCAGATTAAGATAAGATACATAATTTAAACTTTTTTTTGTTAAAAAAAAAAACTCAGCTGTGAACCAATTTTACTTCTGACTTTTGACTATATGTTGCATTCTTTCAGTGATTTATTTATTGATGTCTCATGAAAACGAACTGTTAAACCGTTGGTATAATCTGATGAAGAATCAAACGAACCCACGCACGCCACTTCCTGTTGCTCTCGAGTTCAGACTTGTAACTCTTCTCCTCTGCGTCTTCCTCAGAGAACTGAAGAAAGCCCAGCAGGCCAGAGCTGCGGCCGAAGAGAAGGTGCTGTCCACCGACCGGATCCTGACCCGCTCCACGCTCCAGTCCAACCCCAGAACTTCCAGACTCATTGGGAAGAAGATGAACCGGTCGGTCAGCCTCACCATCTACTGACCTGAAACCCCAAAGGCTCATGGACCTTTCTTAAGGAGTAGAAGCGGTCAGGTTTTTGGAGAAGAACCCCCCCCGTCCGTTATTGTTGGGATCTTCTGCCCGACCCGAGCTGTAGACTGTTGCTACACCAAACTGGAAGTTCTCTCAATAAACTCTGGTGTAGTTCAGCCGCGTTTCTGGTGGACCTTTTTTATTTTTTATTTTTATTTTTTTTCTCCTTTTTGGCGGAGGGGGGGGAGAAACTCTTATTTCCTTAAAGGTAGTTGGTTTACCTTTCACTCTCAGTCATTCCTTAAGTTTGCCAAGACGTCAAGCTCTTTGCCAGGTTGCCCGGACGACAGCGGATCCTGCCAGCGACGCGTCGCTCCCTCCGGAGTGAATGTACTTTCCTTTAGCCGTGCGCACCTTACTGCCTGATGTTCTGGAAACTGACCATGTCTGTTTGGAAAGGAGCACTTTGTAGGGCAACATGTGGTACTACTGCTTACCACGGCGTTTTAAGGAAGACAAAAAAGGAAAATATCTTGCTGCTATTGATGTCATGTATGTGTCAGGGCTTCTACTCAAAGTTTGGATCGTTCTACAGATTAATCCACCATTCAACCCCCTCCCGTTTCAGTTTGGAGGGATTTTTGGATCATGTGATCTGAAGACTTCGTTCTGTTTTGAATTATAGAAACCAGTAATCGGACTCGTTATTTGAGAGGTTTTGGACGGATCCACTCTTTGGTTTTAGTTTCCCTGGTGATCTGTGCTTCCAGCCCCCCCAGCCCTCCTGTAGCATTAGAACAATCATTGTCCTGTCCTGCCATCGGCTTCCCAAAGCTCATAACCCAAATGTCAAAAGGATTACTCCTCTTCATGTTCTTGTAACCCCTAACACAAAGCGTTTGTTGCTGTAACATGTACATATGTTCTGTAATAAATTCTCATGAATCATCTTTTTGTTAAATTGTGGCGATCGCGTTATTTCCAAGGTCAAAAATGATATACAAGAGAAGAAGCCTTAATTGGAAACCATTTTCTGTAGTTAAAATAATTTGAACCAAATAAATTGGTTGCGGTATGAATAATGAGCTGAACTATTCAAAATTTTGGGATATTCCTCCAAATATGTTTGCTAATGTAGCAAGGTGTTTTTGATTGATCTTGGCAAAATACTTTAAGCCCAAGTGGACTGGATGTAGAGCATCAGCGAATGGCAGACTTTGACTGGGCTATTCAAACATGAATATAAGGATCAGGTCTCCTTTGAAAAAGATTCTTAATTGGTGATTTAAAAAATAAGAAATGTGCCCTGATCCAAATTTTTGCCATGCAGTAAAAGGAGGCTAAGTTGAAAGCACTAACAGACCACGAACATTTGATTAAATAAATGAAAATGTGAAAATAAAAGAAGGTTGAGTTTAAAAAAAACACGTGATTTACACTTTCTGTCTGTGTTGCTTCTCAGTACTTATTTACACACATACAGGTCCTTCTCAAAAAATTAGCATATTGTGATAAAGTTAATTATTTTCCATAATGTAGTGATAAAAATTAAACTGTCATATTTTAGATTCATTGCACACCAACTGGAATATTTCTGGTCTTTTATTGACTGATGATTTCGGCATACAGCTCAAGAAAACCCAAAATCCCCTATCTCAAAAAATTAGCATATCATGAAAAGGTTCTCTGAACGAGCAATTAACCTAATCATCTGAATCAACAAAGTAACTCTAAACACCTGCAAAAGATTCCTGAGGCTTTTAAAAACTTCTAGCCTGGTTCATTACTCAAAACCGCAGTCTTGAGTAAGACTGCTGACCTGACTGCTGTCCAGAAGGCCATCATTGACACCCTCAAGCAAGAGGGTAAGACAAAGAAAGACATTTCTGAATGAATAGGCTGTTCCCAGAGTGCTGTATCAAAGCACCTCAGTGGGAAGTCAGTGGGAAGGATTTAGTGTGGCAGAAAACGCTGCACAACGAGAAGAGGTGCAGTGTTTTCTGCTGAAGAAGGACCGATTCCAGACCTTGGGGGACCTGCGGAAGCAGTGGACTGAGTCTGGAGTAGAAACATCCAGAGCCACTGTGCACAGGCGTGTGTAGGAAATGGGCTACAGGTCCCTCATTCCCCAGGTCAAGCCACTTTTGAACCAAAAACAGCGGCAGAAGCGCCTGACCTGGGCTACAGAGAAGCAGCACTTTGGACCACTGTTGTTCGGTCCAAAGTACTTTTTTCGGATGAAAGCAAATTTTGCATTTTATTCGGAAATCAAGGTGCCAGAGTCTGGAGGAAGACTGGGGAGAAGGAAATGCCAGAAGTCCAGTGTCAAGTACCCACAGTCAGTGATGGTCTGGGGAGCCATGTCAGCTGCTGGTGTTGGTCCACTGTGTTTTATTGAGGGCAGGGTCAATGCAGCAGCTATCAGGAGATTTTGGAGCACTTCATGCTTCCATCTGCTGAAAAGCTTTATGGAGATGAAGATTTCATTTTTCAGCACAACCTGGCACCTGCTCACAGTGCCAAAACCACTGACCATGATATTACTGTGCTCATGAATCTGTGGGATATTGTGAAGAGAAAGTTGAGAGACGCAAGACCCAAAACTCTGGATGAGCTTAAAGCCGCTATCGAAGCATCCTGGGCCTCCATAACACCTCAGCAGAGCCACAGGCTGATTGCCTCCAGGCCACACCGCATTGAAGGCTGCAAAAGGATTCCTGACCAAGTATTGAGTGCATAACTGAACATGATTATTTGAAGGTTGACTTTTTTGGTATTAAAACACATTTCTTTTATTGGTCGGATGAAATATGCTAATTTTTTGAGACAGGGATTTTGAGTTTTCATGAGCTGTATGCCAAAATCATCCGTATTAAAACAATAAAAGACCAGAAATATTTCAGTTGGTGTGCAATGAATCTAAAATATATGACAGTTTAATTTTTATCATTACATTATGGAAAATAATGACCTTAATCACAATATGCAAATTTTTTGAGAAGGACCTGTACATATATATATTAAAATAAAAACTGAGTTCCATACTTTTAATTGAAATAAATTGTATGTTTCATTGAGAAGTGCCTTATGGTTATGCTATGCTGTACACAGACACTTGATGGCATGTCTTTTGGACGAAATTACAAAACAAATGTTTAAAACAAACGAGCGGGTAAGTTATTTTAATATATTAAGCATTTTCTTGTATTATGAAGCGTTTTTTCTTGAGTTTCAGACGTAATGTATTGATTTAAATTGGAATAACTTAACTGAAAAAGACGCCACGGGCGAAAATTTGTATGTTAGCTTGCTAAGCTAAGTTTTTTTTTTTTTTTTTTTTTTTTTTCGGAAAAAAAAAAAAAAAAAAAAAAAATTAAAAGGGATTTTAAACCAATTTTTTGTTTTA